AACCCTCACCGGCAGAAGAGATGCATTAACTGAGCCATGGTACCACTGACGTCACCAATTCTCAAGGTCGAAAGGGTCAAATGATTGTCGATCATGTCATGCCAAGTCCATGAAAAAAAAAACAGGACAGTCAATTTGAACTATTACAGTTAAATGCTAAAAAACGGGACAAAGTCGCTATTGAACAGATTCATAAAAACAGGCATAAATTGTAAAATCAGCCAATCTCAAAAACGATCTCGAAGATATCGAAGAACAAACCGTTTATCTTTTTTACGTTTTAGTAAGTCTTGTTGTCAATATACTAAATCAAATCTAATCATTTTCTACCTATTCCCCTGGTGACTTATTCTTATTTGTCCTTGATGATATGCACGTTTACATGAACGTCTGTGCGATGGTTGGAGATCAAAACGATGGATTTTTGTTTTTTTTTTTTTTTTTTTTTTTTTTTGCTTCGGAAAATCGAAAACGTAGCCCGGAAAAGAAGTAGTTACATTAAAAAGTTGGCTTTGTGATTAAGTTGTTACGTTGCCAAGGGTCGTTTGAAGGTCATTAGATATCACTTCATACAGCGGTCATATTAGCTGTGGGATCCTCCAAAATACTGCAGGTGTTGTTGAAGAATAAACACGAGCTTAAGCGTACCATATTCTCTAGAGATATCAGACAGAACATCGACACGATCTAAGTCCAAGTTTAATGAGGTTTCACCCGGCGATGCACAAGGTTGACACATCCCAGAGGTCCAGATATCGTCTTTAAACCAAATCGAATAACCTTGTAGAACACACAGAGACGATGATTGATGCCATGGTTCAACGGATTTCAAGTCCCAAAATGCATGTCAGTGTTATTCAATTTATCGATTCTGTCGCCCCCCAGTGGCCCTTGTCCAGCGTGTTTATTTTTGATGGGACTTTAACGACTTTGACATTCGTCTTCCTTATATTTGCCATTATACCTTTTTGTACTGTCGTTGGTGTTAATTATTTACTTATTAATATGTCTGTTTTATTGTCTTTTGGTGTATTTATTTATTTATTTAATATTACTTTTTTTCACATGCAAGTATTTTCCCCTTTTTCTTGTCGACTGCAGTAAAATGTTGAGACACATAAATGCTGCGATTTTATTGCTAATGACTGGCCCAACATTATGACAGAAATTAATAATTTCCTCATCAAGTTCTAGAAAAGGTAACAGTATATATGCCGCATTTATCGAAAAAAGGACACGTTTTACCACCTGGAGTATTTTATTTCCATGATGATTTCCGTAGTAGCATATGCGGAATTGTCTTCAGTAATGAATGTTTTGGATTGTGCTGCCAATGAGAAATCAATACAGACCTAAAGGGGCGGTGTCCTATGGGGTTCTCTGTATTGCATCCGCTATGTTTTTGTTTTTAGATGTTACAGAATATAAAGAGCTCGCCAAGACTTAACCTTTAAACCGTTTCCGTGCTTAAGCAATTATACGGTATGCCGCACTACTTTAGTCTCTTCTGTATATCTTATTTATCACTTATTATTTGTGTTAAACCCCAAACGTGTTTATTGGAAGATATCTTCTTTTACTTCTGTGAAATTTCCATAACCTTTTAAATTGTCATTGAAATTCGAGTTGTACTAAACACGAGTTTCTATGAGAATATCTTATGTAGATTTTTGATCTCAGATGAATTAACTGCCAGTCTGATTTTGCTTTTATTTCTTTTCATCAGAAGTAGCATCTAAGCAAAGTTTGGCTGGCTAGAGAAGCACTGAGTAAATGGCTTTCGAACATGTCACAAACACCTTAACAAATAAGTTAGGACCAATATTTTGTGAACCTGCCCCTGTACATACATGTGGGTGAATAATACCTCCCAAGTAAGATTTTTTAATCACATTTGGCCAGAAGCCAAGGTACCAATATTTGGGTATGCATTTCTATTGGCTTATTTTGACTTTTCCAATAAGGACAACCGTGTATCATTATCCCAATACCAGCTCTCTATAATAAGCAGGGAAAAATGACAAAGGAATGCCATTAACTGTAGAAGATTAAATTCCTTCCGAAGAGGCTTAGAGTAATGTGTTTCATTTTCCCAGCTGAACAACTGCGACACTTATAGCTTTATGATGGTATTTCATGACGACAAGTTTACACCTGCGTCGTTTCAATTTTTTTAGAATACCGATTGAAACCAAGGCAGTCGCCGACATTTTGAAACCGGAAATTTTGTTCAACTTGCGCGAACATTGATTTATGTCAGGCATTGATCATAAGTTTTCGCTATAAATAAAAAATCGCACAAGATTTTTCAAGATTAACGACAATTAAATTTATAAAGTGAATAGGGTCTGTAGTGTCTTTGTTCACTCTCTTAGATAGAGGTCGCAAAACCATAATATAAACTATACAGGTTGTTTATGGTGCAGTTATTATACATGGAGGGAAATTTTCACGTGAGGAGTTGTGATATTCGAGACATGCAATTATGTTTGTAATTCACCCCTACGGCCCCTTACAAAAGTATAGATGGAATTGAAGCTGTATGAAATACATTCCAACACGAATATTCTCAATAGCTTTGTTTAGGATCATTGCCGAAATGCATCATAAGATAACTTCATGCGTTTGCTGTTCTACGTCTACTGCTTTCTTTTTATCAGCATTATTTGAAGAAATGTTCATGAAATTTTCATATAATATTTGAAGCCATTCTAACAAATTGCTCGCTTATCTATTGAAAACCTGCCCCATACGACAATAATATATGTGCAGGTCCTATCCTAGACAAATCAGTGACAAATGTTTTAACTCTCTCCTGCAACTGCACATACGGGTTCCTTCTGACGACAGAAATGGTGTAGGGTTCGATTTTATATTCACCGATTGAGAAGAAGCAAGGAGCAAGAGTCGTGGGTTTCCAAACAGCTTTATTCCTACTGCTTAAGTTCTTTGGTCCGAATTGCCTAACTACCCCGCCCCCCACCCACCGGTCCACCCAGTTCTACATATCTTATCAAAATATTGCCTATCTATTATAAACTTCAAACCTTTTGTAGTCTCAAGTGTTACCAGAGGCGCGCGACATCTAAGGGGGGCGTGGGACATGCTAAGGGGCGCCACCGCGTCCCTCACAACTAATCGATTATGGCTGAATGGTCTGAACAAAGTCGAAAAAGTGATACAAACACACCACAAACAATTATGAATAAAGAATAAAGTGAAATAAAAAAAGCCACAAAGATTATAATGATAATATAGTTGGAATAATGACTCTGCACCCAAAAGTCAATGTCAAGAAGCTTCCGCCAACAGGGCGCGAGTACTTTTAAACGTGAATGCACCTTGATGTTTACGCACTGCAAAATAGAACGATTTTGTTGATACGCCTATTCTAGAACTCACCCACTGTCTGTTCATTTAGGCATATTCGTAACATTTTTATCTCTTTTGTTAACTTTGGATGGGGTTAAAAAATAAAGTGTATCATATGAAGGACAGACACATGCACACCAGAGCACTGTTATACTGTAGATGTTTCTTTTAAAAATTCAGAAACTTATCACCGCTTTGGTTATCAGGAAGGAAATGATTCCTTTGATTTTTTCTGTTCCATTTCACTGTTTCAGCGATCTGATAATAAGACAAAAGAGAAAGGTCTTTAATCATTTTAGAATGAGGAAAAGCAGATGGGAACAGCGGAAATATGGTGCTGCTTAATTTGAAAGCTAAAATAATACATTTTTGATGAATAAGCCCACCTTTGTTTCAAACTTACAGCACTGACTCTGAATAAATCATAACCAGCGGGACCGTTATTCTTAAATATTTATGTAGCAAGAACTGTTCCCGTTAATGTATTTAATGCAAATGGAACATTTTCAAATGTCCAAATATAGATTTTTTTTGATAAATGAAGAAGTGTAAAAATCATTTTGAATTTTGCGTTTCCATTACATTTTGGTTCCGTGCTGGTGCTTCTGATAATTTGCTTTCACTTTCACTTTCACTTTCTTAACACCACTTTTACATGTATATGGAAAACCCTACGCGTCAACAAATACCTTGAAATGCAAATGAAAATAAACCGAGTGAAAATGAGAGAGATATCAATGATGGATTTACAAATAAAATGATGACGCAATGATGCACTCGTTATAATGACAACAACAACAATGAAGACATCGTCGACGGTTTTCTAAATGATCACGAAAATTTGAAGATAATGTGAAGGTTTTGTTATTACCTCCGCCAAGGAGGTTATGTTTGTTTGTCTGTCTGTCTTTCTGTCTGTCTGTCATAGCTTCAACATAACTCAAAATGTTATGGACCGATTTTGATGAAATTTTCAGGAATTGTCAGAAGTGGGCCAAGGAACAGATGATTAGTTTTTGGTGGTGATCCGGGTCAATAATCAAAAATAAAAAATATCGAAAATTTAGGGTGAAACGGCATTGGATTGAGACTTTGCTGCCTTGGCGGAGGTCTACGCTCTCTGAGTGCTTTTCTAGTTTTGAATGATTTTTCAGAGCAGTACGATGAATTTCACCTGTGTGCCACAGTTGGCACTTTCTTTTCTTCGATGAAAATTATAAAAAAGTCACACTCGGTTAAACTTGATGTAAATTATGCCGGTATACAGCTTGGATTGCTTCAGTTGTGAATGTATTGGCTGTGTAAAATGCTACACAGCAATGATATCATCGTTGACACATTACTGTTAAATTCACTATTAAGGAGCAACCTTTAAACACTTTTTGTTGATGGTTTCGAGACACACTCTGTTACCAAAATTGACTGTTTATAACATTAAAGAAGAATTTCGTGGCAACACTGGATGAGTAGCTTGAAGCCGCATCTGTCTATCAGGGCGCATTCAGTTCACACATAGTACCGCCACTGTGTGAACCGCTGTGTTCTTTTAAAAGCCATATGAGAAGCAAGCAATTTCTCAGTGATTGGCAGTAAAAGAAAGTCATCTATGTAGGAACGGTCCGTTCCAGGTTGTCAAACAAGGTCTAGTGGACGTGACAAACGTCAACGTTCATGAGAAGACCATGTTCGGGGACTGGCGTGGCTCGGGAAAGAAACGCAGCACCCTGGCTATCGATGGTAACTGGAGATATATATACGTGTATATCCAAACTGGCCCTCTCAGTGAGAAGGTAAAAGGTTTCCATTTGATCTCCCGTCCACTAACTAAGTTTGTCTGGCTCCGTGGTAACTTTGCCGACAGGAAAACAGACAGACCCACGTACGCAGGTTCGAGTCCGAGGATGCGACGAAATAATTTTATTCCAGAAATAATTTGCACAAATTGAGTTCGATTACTATAAAAGGTGGGCGGGTCTGTCACGGCGCAGTCGGTAGCGTGCACGGCTGCAAAAAACAAATACAAAAACGTAGAGTCACGGGTTCGAATTCCAGAAGTCGCANCTCTGTATTGCATCCGCTATGTTTTTGTTTTTAGATGTTACAGAATATAAAGAGCTCGCCAAGACTTAACCTTTAAACCGTTTCCGTGCTTAAGCAATTATACCGTATGCCGCACTACTTTAGTCTCTTCTGTATATCTTATTTATCACTTATTATTTGTGTTAAACCCCAAACGTGTTTATTGGAAGATATCTTCTTTTACTTCTGTGAAATTTCCATAACCTTTTAAATTGTCATTGAAATTCGAGTTGTACTAAAAACGAGTTTGAGAATATCTTATGTAGATTTTTGATCTCAGATGAATTAACTTCCAGTCTGATTTTGCTTTTATTTCTTTTCATCAGAAGTAGCATCTAAGCAAAGTTTGGCTGGCTACAGAAGCACTGAGTAAATGGCTTTCGAACGTGTCACAAACACCTTAACAAATAAGTTAGGACCAATATTTTGTGAACCTGCCCCTGTACATACATGTGGGTGAATAATACCTCCCAAGTAAGATTTTTTAATCACATTTGGCCAGAAGCCAAGGTACCAATATTTGGGTATGCATTTCTATTGGGTTATTTTGACTTTTCCAATAAGGACAACCGTGTATCATTATCCCAATACCAGCTCTCTATAATAAGCAGGGAAAAATGACAAAGGAATGCCATTAACTGTAGAAGATTAAATTCCTTCCGAAGAGGCTTAGAGTAATGTGTTTCATTTTCCCAGCTGAACAACTGCGACACTTATAGCTTTATGATGGTGTTTCATGACGACAAGTTTACACCTGCGTCGTTTCAATTTTTTTAGAATACCAATTGAAACCAAGGCAGCCGCCGACATTTTGAAACCGGAAATTTTGTTCAACTTGCGCGAACATTGATTTATGTCAGGCATTGATCATAAGTTTTCGCTATAAATAAAAAATCGCACAAGATTTTTCAAGATTAACGATAATTAAATTTATAAAGTGAATAGGGTCTGTAGTGTCTTTGTTCACTCTCTTAGATAGAGGTCGCAAAACCATAATATAAACTATACAGGTTGTTTATGGTGCGGTTATTATCCATGGAGGGTAATTTTCACATGAGGAGTTGTGATATTCGAGACATGCAATTATGTTTGTAATTCACCCCTACGGCCCCTTACAAAAGTATAGATGGAATTGAAGCTGTATGAAATACATTCCAACACGAATATTCTCAATAGCTTTGTTTAGGATCATTGCCGAAATGCATCATAAAATAACTCCATGCGTTTGATGTTCTACGTCTACTGCTTTCTTTTTTAAGAAATGTTCATGAAATATTCATATAATATTTTAAGCCCTTTTAACAAATTGCTCGCTTATCTATTGAAAACCTGCCCCATACCGATTCATACAATAATATATGTGCAGGTCTTATCCTAGACAAATCAGTGACAAATGTTTTAACTCTCTCCTGCAACTGCACATACGGGTTCCTTGTGACGACAGATATGGTGTAGGGTTCGATTTTATATTCACCGATTGAGAAGAAGCAAGGAGCAAGAGTCGTGGATTTCCAAACAGCTTTATTCCTACTGCTTAAGTTCTTTGGTCCGAATTGCCTAACTACCCCCCCCCCCTCCACCGGTCCACCCAGTTCTACATATCTTATCTAAATATTGCTTATTTATTATAAACTTCAAACCTTTTTGTAGTCTCACGAAACAAGTGTTACGAGAGGCGCGCGACATCTTGGGGGGGGGGGGGGGGGACATGCTAAGGGGCGCCACCGCGTCCCTCACAACTAATCGATTATGGCTGAATGGTCTGAACAAAGTCGAAAAAGTGATACAAACACACCACAAACAATTATGAATAAAAAATAAAGTGAAATAAAAAAAAGCCACAAAGATAATAATGATAATATAGTTGGAATAATGACTCTGCACCCAAAAGTCAATGTCAAGAAGTTTCCGCCAACAGGGCGCGAGTACTTTTAAACGTGAATGCACGTTGATGTTTGCGCACTGCAAAATAGAATGATTTTGTTGATACGCCTATTCTAGAACTTGCCCACTGTCTGTTCATTTAGGCATATTCGTAACATTTTTATCTCTTTTGTTAACTTTGGATGGGGTTAAAAAATAAAGTGTATCATATGAAGGACAGACACATGCACACCAGAGCACTGTTATACTGTAGATGTTTCTTTTAATAATTCAGAAACTTATCATCGCTTTGGTAATCAGGAAGGAAATGATTCCTTTGATTTTTCTGTTCCATTTCACTGTTTCAGCGATCTGATAATAAGACAAAAGAGAAAGGTCTTTAATCATTTTTAGAATGAGGAAAAGCAGATGGGAACAGCGGAAATATGGTGCTGCTTAATTTGAAAGCTAAAATAATGCATTTTTGATGAATAAGCCCACCTTTGTTTCAAACTTTAGCACTGACTCTGAATAAATCATTACCAGCGGGACCGTTATTCTTAAATATTTATGTAGCAAGAACTGTTCCCTTTAATGTATTTAATGCAAATGGAACATTTTCAAATGTCCAAATATAGATTTTTTTGATAAATGAAGAAGTGTAAAAATCATTTTGAATTTTGCGTTTTCATTACATTTTGGTTCCGTGCTGGTGCTTCTGATAATTTGCTCAGAAGCTGCAAAGCGCCTCACTTTCTTAACACCACTTTTACATGTATATGGAGAACCCTACGCGTCAACAAATACCTTGAAATGCAAATGAAAATAAACCGAGTGAAAATGAGAGAGATATCAATGATGGATTTACAAATAAAATGATGACGCAATGATGCACTCGTTATAATGACAACAACAATGAAGACATTGTCGATGGTTTTCTAAATGATCACGAAAATTTGAAGATAATGTGAAGGTTTTGTTATTACCTCCGCCAAGGAGGTTATGTTTGTTTGTCTGTCTGTCTTTCTGTCTGTCTGTCTGTCATAGCTTCAACATAACTCAAAATGTTATAGACCGATTTTGATGAAATTTTCAGGAATTGTCAGAAGTGGGCCAAGGAACTGATGATTAGTTTTTGGTGGTGATCCGGATCAATAATCAAAAATAAAAAATATCGAAAATTTGGGGTGAAACGGCATTGGATTGAGACTTTGCTGCCTTGGCGGAGGTCTACGCTCTCTGAGTGCTTTTCTAGTTTTGAATGCTTTTTCAGAGCAGTACGATGAATTTCACCTGTGTGCCACAGTTGGCACTTTCTTTTCTTCGATGAAAATTATAAAAAAGTCACACTCGGTTAAACTTGATGTAAATTATGCCGGTACACAGCTTGGATTGCTTCAGTTGTGAATGTATTGGCTGTGTAAAATGCTAGACAGCAATGATATCATCGTTGACACATTACTGTTAAATTCTCTATTAAGGAGCAACCTTTAAACACTTTTTGTTGTTGGTTTCGAGACACACTCTGTTATCAAAATTGACTGTTTATAACATTAAAGAAGAATTTCGTGGCAACACTGGGTGAGCAGCTTGAAGCGGCTTCAGCTTCACACATAGTACCACCACTGTGTGAACCGCTGTGTTCTTTTAAAAGACATATGTGAAGCAAGCAATTTCTCAGTGATTGGCAGTAAAAGAAAGTCTATGTAGGAACCCTCCTTTCCAGGTTGTCAAACAAGGTCTAGTGGACGTGACAAACGTCAACGTTCATGAGAAGACCATGTTCGTGGCCAGGCGTGGCTCGGGAAAGAAACGCAGCACCCTGGCTATCGATGGTAACTGGAGATATATATACGTGTATATCCAAACTGGCCCTCTCCGTGAGAAGGTAAAAGGTTTCCATTTGATCTCCCGTCCACTAACCAAGTTTGTCTGGCTCCGTGGTAACTTTGCCGACTGGAAAACAGACAGACCCACGTACGCGGGTTCGAGTCCGAGGATGCGACGAAATATTTTTATTCCAGAAATAATTTGCACAAACTGAGTTCGATTACTATAAAAGGAAACTCGTAGATACGGAGGGTGGGCTTTTCTGTCACGTCGCAGTCGGTAGCGTGCACGGCTGCAAAAAACAAATGCAAAAACGTAGAGTCACGGGTTCGAATCCCAGAAGACGCACGCCAGTTCAACACAACAACGTCATCGAACTGGCGCTGGGAGCGGGAAGCCACAGGAACGAATGGGGCCTCTCGTGGGTCCTCGCAAATTACCTTTTGCACCATTAATAGAAAAAGTTGTTGTCACAGTGGTGCATCTATGAAGATCTTACATCTTTTTTAGCAGATTTATTACTTAAAGATAAATACGGTGATTTGATATGAACCTTTTGCATAAAAAACGGCATAGTTTACAATAAGTGATCGACTTGACATAGACTTTTTGCTGGTCATTCGCATCAAGACTGCATCGTCAATAACACTTCCCTTCTCTTCACTTAAAAGACCTCAAATGGTGTTGACGAGGGTAAGCTCATTGAACTCTATCTTTTTCCAGGTACGTCACATGTCAAACTTGAATCGAGTCAATTGCTGACCCGATACGGCGCCACGCATGTAATACTGCCATTTCATGGAAAAGTGCTATTTTCTCGTTGGGATAATCTGCAAGAAAAGTTCTCAATTTTTTTTTTCAAAAGTAGCGTTGCCGCTATTGCTTTACCCATTCATACATTTTTTTTCTCATGTCCTTTGCTTATCAAGACTGTTCGTATGGTCACACAGTCCCCGGGGCAATTCCACGGTCTGCATTTCAAATGGCAAAGACTACTCAAAAATAAAATCGTCAAGGTTCAAACCGCTTTGGATCTCAACGTGCTCTATAACGCCACAGGCGAAGTCAAACGTAACCTCAGTGTAACACAAAATGAAAATAAAATCACTTGAAATCATATAGCTAGGAACATGACAGGCAGGATTGTCAATAAAAGCGACCGAAATTGATATGATTCAGTAACTCTCCCTGTATACAGTAGAATGACGTCACATCACTCGTAAACCGCATTCAACAGAAAAAGACGGTATCTTGTGGGTGGAGTTATTTGCCAAATATGTTTTCTTTTCTCAAATTTTGTATCCTCCCAATTGCTAGAATGGAAAGCGCACCAGTCTTTGAACATTTGAACTTTTTTAAAGATTCCCTTTTCGTAGGGGCTTGCTGAAACTAAAACCGCCCCGGTGTGAACGGCCTTTGATACCATTGCGTCTTTTTACCGTCATAGTTGAAGCAAACACTTTCTCAATGACTGAAAGTAAAAGAAAGTCATCTATGTAGGAAGGCTCCGTTCCAGGTTGTCAAACAAGGTCTAGTGGACGTGACAAACGTCAACGTTCATGAGAAGACCGTGTTCGTGGCCTGGCGTGGCTCGGGAAAGAAACGCAGCACCCTGGCTATCGATGGTAACTGGAGATATATATATATACGTGTATATCCAAACTGGCCCTCTCCGTGAGAAGGTAAAAGGTTTCCATTTGATCTCCCGTCCACTAACCAAGTTTGTCTGGCTCCGTGGTAACTTTGCCGACTGGAAAACAGACAGACCCACGTACGCGGGTTCGAGTCCGAGGATGCGACGAAATATTTTTATTCCAGAAATAATTTGCACAAATTGAGTTCGATTACTATAAAAGGAAACTCGTAGGTACGGAGGGTGGCCGGGTCTGTCACGGCGCAGTCGGTAGCGTGCACGGCTGCAAAAAACAAATGCAAAAACGTAGAGTCACGGGTTCGAATCCCAGAAGACGCACGCCAGTTCAACACAACAACGTCATCGAACTGGCGCTGGGAGCGAATGCGGCCTCTCGTGGGTCCTCGCAAATTACCTTTTGCACCATTTATAAAAAAAGTTGTTGTCACAGTGGTGCATCTATGAAGATCTTACATCTTTTTTAGCAGATTTATTACTTAAAGATAAAAACGGTGATTTGATATGAACCTTTTGCATAAAAAACGGCATAGTTTACAATAAGTGATCGACTTGACATAGACTTTTTGCTGGTCATTCGCATCAAGACTGCATCGTCAATAACACTTCCCTTCTCTTCACTTAAAAGACCTCAAATGGTGTTGACGAGGGTAAGCTCATTGAACTCTATCTTTTTCCAGGTACGTCACATGTCAAACTTGAATCGAGTCAATTGCTGACCCGATACGGCGCCACGCATGTAATACTGCCATTTCATGGAAAAGTGCTATTTTCTCGTTGGGATAATCTGCAAGAAAAGTTCTCAATTTTTTTTTTCAAAAGTAGCGTTGCCGCTATTGCTTTACCCATTCATACATTTTTTTTCTCATGTCCTTTGCTTATCAAGACTGTTCGTATGGTCACACAGTCCCCGGGGCAATTCCACAGTCTGCATTTCAAATGGCAAAGACTACTCAAAACTAAAGTCGTCAAGGTGTAAACCGCTTTGGATCTCAACGTGCTCTGTAACGCCACAGGCGAAGTCGAACGTAACCTCAGTGTAACACAAAATGAAAATAAAATCTGTTGAAATCATATAGCTAGGAACATGACAGGCAGGCTTATCAATAAAAGCGACCGAAATTGATATGATTCAGTAACTTTCCCTGTATACAGTAGAATGACGTCACATCACTCGTAAACCGCATCCAACAGAAAAAGATGGTATCTTGTGGGTGGAGTTATATACCAAATATGTTTTCTTTTCTCAAATTTTGTATCCTCCCAATTGCTAGAATGGAAAGCGCACCAGTCTTTGAACATTTGAACTTTTTTAAAGATTCCCTTTTCATAGGGGCTTTCTTAAACTAAAACCGTCCCGGTGTAAACGGCCTTTGATACCATTGCGTCTTTTTACCGTCATATTTGAAGCAAACACTTTCTTAATGACTGAAAGTAAAAGAAAGTCATCTATGTAGGAAGGCTCCGTTCCAGGTTGTCAAACAAGGTCTAGTGGACGTGACAAACGTCAACGTTCATGAGAAGACCATGTTCGTGGCCTGGCGTGGCTCGGGAAAGAATCGCAGCACCCTGGCTATCGATGGTAACTGGAGATATATATANCGCAGTCGGTAGCGTGCACGGCTGCAAAAAAACAAATGCAAAAACGTAGAGTCACGGGTTCGAATCCCAGAAGACGCACGTCAGTTCACCACAACAACGTCATCGAACTGGCGCTGGGAGCGGGAAGCCACAGGAACGAATGCGGCCTCTCGTGGGTCCTCGCAAATTATCTTTTGCACCATTAATAAAAAAAGTTGTTGTCACAGTGGTGCATCTATGAAGATCTTACATCTTTTTTAGTAGATTTATTACTTAAAGATAAATACGGTGATTTGATATGAACCTTTCGCATAAAAAACGGCATAGTTTACAATAAGTGATCGACTTGACAAAGACTTTTTGCTGGTCATTCTCATCAAGACTGCATCGTCAATAACACTTCCTTTCTCTTCACTTAAAAGACCTCAAAATGGTGTTGACGAGGGTAAGCTCATTGAACTCGATCTTTTTCCAGGTACGTTCGTATGGTCACACAGTCCCTGGGGAAATGCCACAGTCTGCATTTCAAATGGCAAAGACTACTCAAAACTAAAATCGTCAAGGTTCAAACCGCTTTGGATCTCAACGTGCTCTATAACGCCACAGGCGAAGTCGAACGTAACCTCAGTGTAACACAAAATGAAAATAAAATCACTTGAAATCATATAGCTAGGAACATGACAGGCAGGCTTATCAATGAAAGCGACCGAAATTGATATGATTCAGTAACTTCCCCTGTATACAGTAGAACCACATCACATCACCCGTAAACCGCATTCAACAGAAAAAGATGGTAGGCCTATCGCCAACTCATGAGTTCAAATCCTAGATGACGCAGATGTCAGTTCACCACAACAAGAACGAGCTTGCCTCGTATGCAGGCGTTCGTGTGTCCGGAAAAATTACTTTTTGCATAATAATCCGGTATAGTTTAGAATTAGTGATCAATTTTGACAACAATTTATTGCTCGTCATTAACATAAAGTCTGCATTCTCAATTATATTTCTTTTCTCTACTTTGTCTTCAAAATGATGCTTAGGCGGGGATGGTTTAGAATAACTGATCGATTTGACAACAACTGGTCATTATCTTAAATTCACGATTTTGCATCCGCGGATGTGTGTGTGTGTGTGTGTGTGTGTTATGGTTCACTTGCAGGCACTTTTGCAGTTCCCACCCCATATAACTCCGTGATCATGATATATTTCAATGTCTTATTTTAATAAATTTGTGCAGTGACTTTGTACAATGTCTCCGCTAGTCAAAGAAATTAGTTTGGTAATTCATTTACTGATTTTAAGATGTTTTTTACACGAAACTCTAAAGACTTTATGCCTTCCAAATACACTCTTGCCCAAAATGGTTGGTACACGGAAATTTTGAGATGCATATCGCCCTGTTTCTTTCATTATTATTGATAGTGCCAAATTAATACTGTTTATATTGTTAAATATGTGAAGCTGGAGGATTGGTTAAGTCAAGGAGAAACAACCAATGCAAATGTGAAAAAAGCGTTAATTTATTTAGTTTTTTTTCTCATGCCCCCAAAAAGAGTACTTTTTTTACATAACAGTACCAAGTGAAAAATTAAACATAAATTTATACTGTGATTGACAATTAATATGAAATAAGGGGAAATTGTCAAGAAACATCTTCAGAGTTCATTATTAATCTCAATAGCGGGTATGCCCACCCCGAGCTTGGATAATGGCCGCCAAACGGCGTGGCATACTGTGAACTAGAGTTACAGCTCTTTGGAGAGGAATTCTGGTCCATTCATATTGAAGGACATCTCGCAATTCATCTAGATTTGCAGGGGGAGGGTTTCTCCTCTGAATAGCACGACCAAGTTCGTCCCACATGTGCTCAATTGGGTTTGCATCTGGCTTCTTGCTGGCTGTGACATCAGCTGAATGTTGTTTTGTCGGATAAAGTCTGCAATTAAGCGGGCTGTGTGTTGAGTTGCATTGTCATGTTGCAATCTAAAATTGTCTCTGTATATCCCTCTTGCCAATGGCTCCAGGTTCTCCTGGAGAATATCTCTGTATCTGGCAGCGTTAAGGTTTTCATCCAGAGAAAGCAATGGGCAAATGCCGTTGCTGCAAATGGCACCCCAAAACTTGTACAGAACCACCTCCTTCAGCTATGAGAGTGCGTAGGCTCCCTGGGGGGAGGCTGTTAACTGAAAATATCCAGGAAACAATAGCTGAAGGAGGTGGTTCTGTACATGTTTGGGGTGCCATTTGCAGCAATGGCATTTGCCCATTGGTTCCTCTGGATGAAAACCCTAACGCTGCCAGATACAGAGACATTCTCCAGCAGAACCGGGAGCCGTTCGCAAGAGGGATATACAGAGACAATTTTAGATTGCAACATGACAATGCAACTCAACACACAGCCCGCTTAATTGCAGACTTTATCCGACAAAACAACATTCAGCTGATGCCACAGCCAGCAAGAAGCCCAGATGCAAACCCAATTGAGCACATGTGGGACGAACTTGGTCGTGCTATTCAGAGGAGAAACCCTCTTCCTGCAAATCTAGATGAACTGCGAGATGCCCTTCAATATGAATGGACCAGAATTCCTCTCCAAAGAGTTGCGACTCTAGTTCACAGTATGCCACTCCGTTTGGCGGCCATTATCCAAGCTCGGGGTGGGCATACCCGCTATTGAGATTAATAATGAACTCTGAAGATGTTTCTTGACAATTTCCCCTTATTTCATATTAATTGTCAATCACAGTATAAATTTATGTTTAATTTTTCACTTGGTACTGTTATGTAAAAAAAGTACTCTTTTTGGGGGCATGAGGAAAAAAACCCTAAATAAATTAACGCTTTTTTCACATTTGCATTGGTTGTTTCTCCTTGACTTAACCAATCCTCCAGCTTCACATATTTAACAATATAAACAGTATTAATTTGGTAATATCAATAATAATGAAAGAAACAGGGCCATATGCATCCCAAAATTTCCGTGTACCAACCATTTTGGGCAAGAGTGTATTACAAGATCCGAGGTTATCGCTGGGATGAAAATTTGCTGTAACCTCATTGGTAAAAAAATTTTCGAAAGTTTATTTTAAAAAAGATTTAAAAATAAGTAAGTAAATTTGCAAAGTAATTTATTTGAATAGCAGCAACATTAATAAAAAATAATTCATTTCTTTTAACCGCGCGTCTGAGCAGTGCTGGCCTATATAAAAACCTAAACAACACAGAAAAATTAAAAACTAATATAAAAATAATTAACTAAAAACACAAGTTAACCAAAAAAGCAGCATTTAAATTAGTCTTAACAGGCATCGATCTATATCTGCGCTTAGCCTACTTCTCCGTACTCTTCTCATGAGGTGCTTAGATCTATTTTCAGCGGAGAATCCAGCCTCGGTTTAAACATTCACAGTGATGACGTCATGGGAAATCACCTTCCCTGATGGTTTAACCGCTGCTACGACTCCATGCATGTTTGTGAAAAGGTAAAAACTTAGGCATGCACTTGAGCTTCTCACGCATGTCTTATAGGCGTTTAATTATATATTGCATGATGTTCAATTTTTATATGATAAATCAGTGAAATGATTTGCAGAGGATCGGTTTGGATACACGTTCTTGTCATGTACTCGAGCTACCAGTACAGTACATGTAGGCCTACTGTACGTACTCAAGACTGTGTGCCTCAACTCAGTCTCTAGTCAAAGTTTACATCAATGTATTACTACAATATTAGTAATGGTAACACATTCTTGTTACATGTATGGAATTGAGAACCGTGTGTGTGTGTGTGTGTGTGGAGGGGGTACAAATGTCTATTTTTACCCACAGTTAAAGCTAGCTGGATTGGAAGTGGGAGAGGAATCCCTACGGCTACTGGTACATTTGGTGAGATATCATTGATGATTTATGCATTAGTGATTACCTCTCCTCCCACCTCCCCCCCCCCCAGTTGCAGTACTATTACAATGTATGTACATTAATTTAGTAAACCTTATATCAGTCGGCTCTACTGGGTATATGCCAAGGTAATATTTATATAATGAAAACTGATACAGAATAGCTGATCACAGATTTACCATGTCATATGGTGGGGGGGGGGGTAATGTTTTTGTGATGTATGCAGTGTGTAAGGAAATGTGCAATACTTACCATTATATTATAGTCAGACACAATCATTTCCATTTTATATGAATTGCCACTTTATTTATGATGTTTATATATACAGTAGTCAAAGTTTCCTGTGTCTAGCACACTTAGTTTAAGTTTTATATATCTAATACATTCCATATTTTAGCATGCAGGTACCAGTACAAATAAAAATAAAACAAATATTAAAATTATGCAGGAGAAGTCCTAATTGAAGTCTGATAATTTAGACTAAACAGTTACACATGTACAGTGATGATCTACCTGACATCTACAAGAGGGCCTTGGTAGCTATACCCAGTAGCTATACCACCTAGCAGTCAGTGAGTAACAACATCTACTCACATCGGTCTGATGAAGACCTACACCCAGTTTGGCTGGACGCTAACAGTACTAAAATATTTCAGCTTGTGTTTTATAATTATCATATGTGAACAGTGACAAATTTCAGAAATCAAGATCATGGGTGACTTGGCTAGAGTAGACATCAACCTGTACATAGGGAGCAGGGACGATGCCAGTGACACAGAGACATTACAACAGAAAGAAGTGACACACATTCTGACCATTGATGTGAAGCCACTGCCTACTACACAACAAATGACATTTCAGTGTAAATTCATCCATGCTCTGGATGACCCAGAGACTGACCTTCTGAGTTATTTTGAAGAGTGCATTCAGTTTATTGAGGATGGAGTGAAGATGGGAGGAGTGCTGGTGCATTGGTATGTTTGGTATCTTCACAAATTAAAATAACAATGGATAATAATTGCATAATTAGTATTTGTTTACAGCTCAGAAAAAAACCTATCGTGTAACTGCATAGATTATGAAGTTGAGTAAAGAAATATAGGTCTTTTCAAGAAACAGCAAATGTACATGTTAACATGAATGTTTTGAATTCCTCAATGAAGCCATCATAGCTGAATTAAAAGTGAAATAGTATAAGGTGAATGGCAGAACTGTAAAATTAATGTATTTAATCACTGCTTCAGTGGATTATTTGTCTTCAATAATACATTTAATTCTTCTGTATTATTACTCAGACTATTTATTAATTTTTATTTTCACTTCAGTGCAGCAGGGGTGTCTAGGAGTGCCACCATAACAGCAGCTTATCTCATGAGAAAGCACAATATAGGCGTTGAGGAAGCTCTTGGCAAAATTGAAGAGAAGAGACATGTTGGGTACTGTTTTGATTCTTACAAAATATCATTAACAAATAATTTTTAAAAATATTTTTATCATATAGATTGTGCAACATTTTATTCATAACAGGATATGGAAGGCAGAACTGTTAGTTAGTTTACTAGTAAATATCTGATTTATTTTAGGCCAAACCCAGGATTTATGCAACAATTACACTTATTCGAAGAAATGGGTAGTAGACTTGACCAGAAACATCCAAAGTATAAAATTTATTTCTGGAATAAATTGTCTGCCAGGGTACAAGCAGGTAACTAGGTGGATTCCTAAACACGCTTCCTCTTAATTGCTTTTTTTTTTTAATTTTCTTACATCATATCCAAGCAAATGAAACCAAAAAGCTATTGTTTTGCTTTTCTTTTAATTAAAAACTTAGTATTTTAAGAGTATAGTAAGAGTAGGTCAGATCCCACTGCATATTTTTAGACTTCACTGAAAGGCAGTCTCATCTTTGATTACATGGCATTCATGAAGACTCGATGGAGAAAAACGATAAAAATATTCAGTATATTTTTTAATGATTTGCTTTTCTAATCATTTTTGGCACAGCACGTTCCTTAGAAGACATTAATGCAGATACATTAGAACCTGATCCCTCTGTGGGAGGAACTGGTGGCGAAACAGTGTATAGATGTAAAAAGTGCAGGCAAGTAGTTCACATATGGGTGTAGAAAAAGGTAACTCACTTGTAGCATCATTTAAGGCAAACTTTTTCATATTTTTCACCTTTTTCTGCTAACTGTATGTGAATTAGCATTACAGCCTGCATGAATGTTTAGACCATGGTCCTGTGGTTGATATTCCAAGATTATTGTGTTTAACATTATCAAAAGACTTATTTGAGAAATTTATAACTATCCAACCAAGAAAAATGATTAACAACTGTATTTGAGACATTTTATATTAAGATACAGGATTTTTGGTTAAGGTTGAAACGTCATGCCACATATGAAAAAAAATAATGTCCAATCAACTTATAAAAACAATTCTCTTTGTCACTGCTAAAATTATGTTGTTGCATTTCAGACGCATTCTTTTCAAACAGACCAGCTTTTTGTCTCATTCTGAGGGTACAGGCGAAGCTGCATTTGACTGGAGGCGAGACAGTATAAAACATGATGGCAGCCATAGCAGTAGTGATGAAAAAGAGACCATGTGCTCACAGTCTTACTTCATAGAACCAGTGCAATGGATGTCTGACTGTATCAGTAGTCTAGAGGGGAAAGTGAGTATACTTCACTGGCAGATTGGGGTGAAGGGGCACACAGACATATATTTTAAAATTTATAAAGTAATGTTTCTTTCTTAGTTGTTTCTTTCGCTATGCAGACTCAAAGAATGATACATAATTCACATGTTGTAGATTGATCAGTTATATTTCACTTCCAGCTTTCTTGTCCGAAGTGCAATGCCAAACTAGGGTCTTTTAATTGGGCAGGTAGGTACACTGTACTTACAAATGGTCAGTATTCTGCAAAATTCTATGTAATGATTCTCCTTCGACAATGTTTTAAAAATCACTCTCAGCAAATAGCAAAGGAAAAAAATCCACAAGGTTTGCATGTGATATACAATGAGGGGTATAAGGTGATGAGTAAAATAAGGGTTTGTAATATTAAGAATTCTGTGTATAGAGAGCACTTATTTTTTTCCTCTTATGTGATATCACACTACTGGTTGCATTGTAACATGAATTCTCAAATTGATGTCCTGTTTACATTTTAGGGGAGAGATGCCCATGTGGAGCTTGGATCACACCTGCTTTCCATATTCAGATACAGAAAGTGGACAAATCAAGTCCAAGGAGTCTACCAGTCACAGTGCCCCCTCAGTGTAGAACTACTGCTAATCAAACAACATTAACTTAAGCCCTGTATTCCACTGGGCACTGAATGAAAATTTGATACAGACTGCGCTGCATTTTGAATAAAGATTTTAATTTTTTATTTAAATAAACAGTCTGAGTAAAAATACAGAAGAATTAGATGTATTATTAAAGACAAATAATCCACTGAAGCAGTGATTAAGGGCATTAATTTTACAGTTCTCTATGCCATTCACCATTTTCTACTTTCACTTTTGATTCAACCATGATGGCTTCATTTAGGAATTCAAAACATTCATGTTAACATGTACATTTGCTGTTGCTTGAGAAGACCTATATTTCTTTACTCAACTTTATAATCTACTGTCACACAAGTTTTTTCCTGAGCTGTAAATTAATAATAATCATCCAGAAATTTTAACAAAATTTGTGAAGATACCAAACATACAAACTTTAGTGAGTATATAATGGATCCAATGCTGCACTACTGCGTAGGGCATACAAATCATAAGTTCAAATTGAACACGTTCATTTGCGTTATATAATTACATGTACGGCCATAAAACGAGTCGCATGCACAAGCAAGCGACTGTATTAAGTTAATATACGAGTCTGGGGGTTATTTTTGTGAACTGAACACACCTTCCTTTTTACCCCCCACCCCCACCCCCCCACCCCCACCCACCCCAAAAAAAGTTTTTCCTTTAATCACGTTGGGGACATTCAGTCTAAATTAAGAGTAAAGTACGTTATTAAAATTGCACATTTTTAAAGCTAGTCCAGGAGGAAAACCAGAGATAAAACCCTTTTATATATCTTTCTTATATCGCGGCTCTGGAAACCGGGCAATTGAGCACAGCTGCGCACGCCAACGACAGCGCTGTGCCTGACCCACCTGCCCACCGTATATACGTTATACTTCTTATAGTTATATATTCAATTTTCATAAATCATATAGAGCAAAATTACTGCATTACACACTCTAGCATTCGAACATGAGTACAAGGGTATAGCTGTGTTTAAAACAGCGGAATTATCAAGAAGTCGCAGAGGCTTCGATGGTAGATCTTAGACCAAATGGAAACCTACCTTGTCACGCAGAAGGCCAGTTTGGTTGTACACGTTTACATCTGCATTTACAATCGATAGCACGGGTGCCGTACAGATGTATTTCATCTTGTGCAACGCCAGTCCCCGAACATGGTCTTATCATCACCGTCGAAGTTCACAATGTTCACGGGGCCTTGTTTGAGAAACCGACACGGAGCGTTTTTTTCTGTGACTATGTTTTGTGCTGAGATTTAGTTTGGGTTCACCTAAGACGTTAAAGAGCACAATGGGATCAAAGTCGGCCCGGTTTTGCCTTAAAGGGATAATAACTCTTCGTATGAGATCTATATTTCATAATAAAAATATTGTGAACAACTCATAGAAATATAATATATTCTGTTTTACCACAAAACGGCAGTTATAGCTATTATTCTGATATCTAAAGTTGTCTTTAGACCACGTGACCTCCATTGATGGCCATAAAAAACTTTTTAGAAAAAAATACCAGGGACTAACTATGAATGTAAAAATGGATTCATTAACCATTGGTAAGTATGGGAAAATTAGTTTACTCCAGGAAAATTCATTTTTTGGCCAAAACGAAGAGTTATTATCCCTTTAAGCAAGCCCCTATAAGAAGAAGGAATCATTTCAAAACGTTCAAACGTGTACAAGCAATTGCAACAATACGAATTTTAAGAAAAACACATTTGTTAAATAATTTTGTAGAGAAGATACCGTTCTCGTCTGCAGATCGCGATATACAGGTGGTAAGACAGGGGCGGATACAGGATTTGAAGGGGGGTTTGTTTTTTACGAATGACAGGCCTCGGATTCGAAGCCGACCCTCGTCCCCCTTGTGGTAGGGTTCGGGGCCTGCTTAAGGGCCCCAGTATATTTTGGTGTTTTGAAAGTCAAGCGGTGCCATTTGGAACGGTGAAGAACTATAAATCATCTAGTAAAAATTCTTATTTCTAGAGGGGAATCAGTGTGATTTTTTTCAGAAACCGAAGTGGGAGTCAGGACCCCCCTGACCCCCCACTAAATCCGCCACTGACCCCCACCCACCCCCACCCTCAACCATCCGTCCGCATAGCATGTCGATCGTTATGTCAAAACCAAAAATATTCATGCTAACGAAGTATTTTCATTGGTTCATGTTTTATCGCGAGGTTATAGGTACAGAAACATTCAGAATGCAAAGATGAAAGTTCTCGGACTAATACTGATATCTGCGTTGCTAAACTAGTACGGGGATATAGCTAAACGCTGAAACCAGATTGTCGTTAAGTTCCTGGTCGTCTAACGTGCCAGTTTTCATGATAATAAATTACTAAGATACAGAGTTATATCGGAAACCGATCAGTATCTCAAACCAATTTACAAAGCGGAATTGGCTATTAACGCGTGACCACCCTATGCGCAGAATCGAGTGAGGTGCTGAGAAAAGGAACAAAAAAATTAAATAAATAAATAAATAAATAAAAAATAAGTTTCATGTATTAAAATTCTTATTTAATTGCCACAATATCTCGATACATATCTCACGTAAAAGAAAACGGGAAATTAGCTATTTTCCCCAATATAGGCCTTGATACCGATACCCCTTAATAGTTCATGTTTTTTGGTTATCAAATTACATGTATGTAACAACATATAGAAAAAGCTTTTTTCTTGAAAGCTATGAAAGCTGGATTGAGAAAATGTGGCTCTTTAAATATTCTAAACTTTTCTACATAAATGTAAAACATATATGTATAATTATAATTAATGTATGTATATACGGTAAGACCGGGATGTCGGCCTTGTTCTGACATATACATGTTAAAATCATGTCAATCTTAACGCAGTATCTCGTCTTCTTTCTTTGGCAAGTCTGTTTTTAAAGCCCAGTTACAACCTCTTATAAGAAAATGATAATCATTTCATTGCAGTGAATGGTTGGTGAACTTTAATGTAAAAGTTTCTGTCGCATTAATGTGATGGCAGCTTTTTCTCTGCGACGAGCCCGGAAGTAGACGACGTATATGGCAACTGTTCCCACGAGCACCGTTCCAATTATGCACCCAAGAATGATTTGGTGTATTATAGCCGCATTTAATTTTGCCATCAGGTCTGTGGATGGGAAAAAAAGAAGAATATAGAAAGACATGGGTGTAAACCAGAACAGATAAGGAAATATAAAATATCTTTATCAACTAAGAACTCAAGTTTGTCTTCAAATAGTTCCTCAATTAAAAGATACATGTTAAACCTAATGTAATATGTAATGCCAATGTTATGTCAAACCCAAAATATATAATTAATATGAACCTAATTAATTGCATTTTGTTCATGGTAGAAAGAAACAGCACGAAAATTCATGCACTAACATTAATTCTTATATACGGCCCCGGCTATGCATACTGTTAGCACAACCGTACATAACAGAAACCGTTTACAGGAATGCAAAAGCATGGATTTTTTTTTTTTTTTTTTTTTTTTTTTTTTTGCCAAGAGATAGACAGAGAAAGAGAAGGGAGGGGTTGACAAATGCTTTGCAGCAAAACGAACCTGAATTTATACTTTCTGCATCCATTTGTTCCCCATTAAACTGGTAAAACCAATCGATGGTAACGTGTTGTATCCTATCAGTAAAGGGGGCCTTTGTAACCAATGATTGGGTACTAGTTGGACTTGGCTGTCTTCCAGGACGCACTTGCACCATTGCCATGGTGTCACCTTTCTGCCCTTTCTGTCCAGTTACACTCATCCCCTTCATCCCTTTCATGCCCTTCATCCCCTTCAAGCCCATTTCTCCTGTCGCACCAGAATTTCCCACGTTTCCCGTCATGCCCTTCTGGCCTTTTTGGCCTTTGACGTCCCCAGGCTGACCGACTGCGCCTTCCAACCCTGTAAATTAAGTTTTACTTATATTGGTAACACATTCTTTTCGTAGTCGAGGTCCCGCACATACTGGTACAATAATAACACTCGGAATCTTTATGATATGTAATTTAAGATTTTAATCTTTTTCTCCATTCTGTTAGGCTTTAACTAGTTCATAAATAGTATAGTTATGACGAAGATTTTAAGAAATGTTTGAAATGTATTAATTTTATTCCTGACTTGCACATACAAGTGCAAATTGTAATTTAAACCCTAATTTGTACATTGTTTAACCATACTCCCCAAGCAAAAAAGTGTCACCTCTAAGGCAATTCGTAAAGTGATACAGAAAAATCATGTCGCGAACCAATGTTCTTCTTTCAAATTGCCACAGAAAAAAATCAAAGCGACATTTTAGTGCTTAGTATACCAGTAGCATCTTCTGGATTGGAGGACGCACCTATTGTGTCTGTGAGTGGAGTCAAAAGTTTGCACAGTTTAGGCGTTCCACATTACGGTGCAAAAATACAGTAGTATGAGATCGTTTTGGTTAGCGGAGAACCAGAGGCAGAAAATTCGGAATATACGTCTTACCACCTGCTCTCCTTCTGACAATGTTTCACCTGCTTTCATCTGGGAACAGTATGAATGCCCATGGCCAGTTTTGGGCTGGTGTCCATTCCAGAGTTCCAGTATGCAATCTGACTCAACTTAGGCGGTTTCTGGCAGTGATCATTGGTTTCCTCACAGAAACCCTACCAAAATAACGACGATTGTGCACACGTCTTTGTGTTCTGCTTTTGTGAAATGTTGAAGTCAAGTTCCAAAATGTCATGAAACGTTTTCTACGAGGAAGGCGTATCAATCGGCAGGTCAAAATTCCCTCTGGTGTCGACCGCTTGGTTAAAAAAATGCATTCCTCTCACTGAAGAGTCGCATATTAAAAATAAATTGGTATTGGAGTATTTTAATGGTTACGCTAGGTACGTCAATTTTCTACTTCTCACATCCCCAATTTACACGATAACCACTTGCCTCTTTGTTATATAATAGTAAAATTAAACCTATGGTAACCTAGTAGTAATAACTGTACAAAAATGTACATACCGGGGTAGTTGCGGTAGGAGTGGCACCTTTTTGACAGGGGTGTATACAATATATCAAATAATGCCATGCAATCAAAGCAGTTACGAAAGAGACGTCGTAGGATACAGGGTTAAACAATATTTGATCATAAGAATATTTTTCCCGAGAAATATAAAAAGGAGCATGTTTTTCTGCTTCTTTGAAGAAAATAGGGCATCTTAAATTTCAGATATACCGGGTAACTAGCTAAATAACAGTATTGGAGATGGGGTTTCTCTTACCTTTGGGTCCTGCTGTCCCTGGTGGCCCACCAGTGCTTATTCCTTTTGGACCTCCTTTTCCTGGTGGCCCTCCTGTTCCAGAAGGCCCCCTTGCACCTGATGGCCCTCCTGTTCCAGGCGGTCCTCCTGTGCCAGGATGCCCTCCTGTTCCTGGGGGTCCTCCTGTTCCAGGTGACCCTTCAGTTCCCGGAGGGCCTCCTGTTCCTGGTTGGCCTCCAGTTCCTGGAGGACCACTTCTCCCAGGCGGCCCCTCTGTACCCATTGGTCCACTTGTTCCTTGTGGCCCTCCTATACCCGCTGGCCCTCCAATTCCAGATGGCCCTGCTGTTCCCGGTGGCCCTGCTGTTCCCGGAGATCCTGCCATTCCTGGCGGCCCTCCTGTACCTGTTGGCCCTCCTGTTCCATGTGGCCCTCCTGTTGCGGGTGTCCCTACTGTTCCTGGGGGGCCACCTGTTCCGGTTGTCCCTGCTGTTCCTGGTGGACCTCCTGTCCCTTGAGGACCACTTGTCCCAGGCGGCCCCGCTGTACCCATTGGTCCACTTGTTCCTGGTGGCTCTCCTGTACCTGGCAGTCCTTCAGCTCCGGGTGGCCCTCCTGTTCCAGGTGGCCCTACTGTTCCAGGAGACCCTATTCTTCCAGGAGACCCTACTGTTCCGGGTGGCCCTGCTGTTCCTGGTGGGCCTCCTATCCCGTTTGGCCCTAATCTCCCTGGTGGGCCTCCTATTCCCGGTGGACCATTTGTCCCAGGGTATCCCACTGTACCCAATGGTCCAGTTTTTCCTTGTGGCCCTCCGATACCTGGTGGCCCTCCTGTTCCGGGTGGTCCTCCTGTTCCTATCGGTCCTGCTGAGCCTGGTGATCCTCCTGTTCCTTCTGGTCCTGTTGTACCTGGTGGGCCTCCTGTTCCTGTTGAAAAAAAAAATGAACTTCAGCATCCTTCTTTCAAATATCCAAGAAACTTGGAGGGAGATTTAAAAAAAAACATGCTTCTTCATTTTTTTATTTCGGTAATATTGCAGAGAATGCTATATCGATAATAATAATAAAACGAAGATAATGGATAAATAATAATGATTACACGTTGCGGCTTTGGTTTTAATTTTCAAGTCACTCAAAGGGATTGCCCTGTCCCCGCTACTTATAATGACTATCAGTACTGGTTGATGACTCCCACTGTTAATGAGCAAACTCTTTAGTAAACAAAATAATTCAACATCTAGTCATCTAGCTGCAAAAGGCCTATTTCAGCGGATCACCGAGCTCGGGCTTGGGTGCACAGATACCTGACATACCTGGATAGCGCTTTCTTATTAAAACCGAACGTGGAGCAGGTAATTATGTTCAAAACGAAGTCAAAAGCAGATGGAAGCACAGCACGTGCTATTTAAACCATGCAGTTCACATACCAGGCTCTCTACACATTTCTTCGGCCTGTTGGATCTGTTCTGCAGATAAAACAGTCACGTACCATTGGACACATCTCATGGCACCAGGGAAATACCTCGTATCTCCCGTGGAGCTGCGCCTTGCTCCCATACGGACATCTGTGTCGGTGATATGGTTCAGTTGAGGGGTGTCTTGAAACTGACCCACCTCGGTTCCGTCCTTCCACAACCTAACCACCCCAGTCTGGAAATCGTACGTAAAGCCGACATACGTCCATTCAGTATCACTAAGTACAGGTAGAGAGTGGGCTGGAGAAAAACTGTACGGATCCTTTTGTACAAGACGAAGAAATAACTGCCCATTTCCTGTAGACCATATGTGAGTACCGTAATCATAATCGTCCACGCTCCGGCGAAAGTGAAAAAGTGGGCCCTGGTTCGCCAAGTCTTGTAGGCGCACCTCAGCCAGCCATGTAAAAGAGTCAGCCTTTAATGCTCCATTGTTTGGAATTTCGATGAAGGAAGAAACTGAGCCTTCAAATTTAGCTGAGCCTTCGCCGATACCGTAAATACCTAGTTTAAAAACATGTAAAAATATGAAAGGTATATCATAGGTTTCCTGTCTTTGTATTTGAGTTACTAATGCCCCTATTTCACACAGACCACGAATCCCACGAATCGCCAGGAATTGACAAATTTCAGGATTCGTGGTTGAATCGTAATCAGTTCGTGAAGTTATTAACAGATTCGAATATATATTCGTAGTCAGTTCTTGCAATTCTTGATCAATCACGAACTGATTACGACGCGTGGGGAGGCGTGTGAGAGGCGGAGAGACCTTTACAGGATGAAACGGTCTTCCTTTCATGTAGTTCCGCCATATTTAGATCGCGGCCTTACTAGCGCTTGGCTCTTCTCAATCTGAATGGTCCCTGTTACAGTTAAGTGATGGCAACAGGTACGCAACAGATACTGTAAAACATGAAGAACAAATTAGATATTTGACTTTATATGCACCACGGAAGAAGAGAAAATGAATACGATTGGATTAGTACAGATTATCTCATCAACACGGAAAATAAACTGGATAATTGTTGCTCGTAATGGCTGTAATTTTAACAATGGGGGCAATCACAAGATGAATTAAAAAAAAAAAAAAAAAACACTCACAGTTACAAAAATAGTGTTCGTGAGCTTATTTGAAGGTTAACTAGTCTGACCAGTACTACATGCACATTGATGGCATCAGCTCAAGCGATCTGTCGCTTGACATATGCATCGGGAACGCATCAGTTCTCGTCAGCTTACCTTATTATGTAAACCATATAAGTACCTACTTCTATGTGTAAACTTACTTCATGTGTTATACCAGTATGCATGGTTTGAAAGTAAACGAACAAAGGTTAATACCCCCGTCACACTAGAGGCGGAATGAGCAAGAATGCCGTTGGAAAGACAGTTCTTTGTGCGTTCCTGTATATTCGAAGAGCATTCTAAAAATTCCGAGTGCATTCCAAATATTTTTACCCATTCTTGTGGCCGGCCCAAATGTTTTGCTCATGTTAAAAACTTTCGAAGTGCATTCCAAGTGGAAAATTATCGAATGGCATTTGAATTGTATTCTAACTGCACTATGACTGCATTCTAAATATTCTCACGGCATTCCGACAGCATTCGAAACATTCGAGGGAGAACCGAAATGGCAAGACACTTCAAATCCTGCTAGAATGAGCCGGAATGCAACTCGAATGCATCTCGATCCTATTTCAGCCAGCAATCGAACTACACTCGTGCGGCATTCGAAGTGTATTCTAAATATTCTGACTGCATTCTGACAGCATTATTGATATTCCTAGTTTTCCAACTACATTCGAGCTGCATTTTAGAGCTAATACAGACTAAATGTGCAGGAATCATTCCAGGCGGATTCAAGCGCATTCTGAGTATTCCAAGGTCAATTTGAGTTTTCTTCCCGAATGTAGTACGAATTTTTAAATTTAGTCATTCCGGCTGGTTCTGCTTGATTCCTGCTGATTCCGAATAAGTGTGACGGGGGCTTAATATAAATCAAGATGGGGTAACACATACGTGTAGAACACTTTAAAAAAAACTCCAATTTTCACTAGAGGATCAGAGAGGCGATACCGCCTCTGGATATTGTACCACCAGCTGGAGTAAGCGCATTCGTATGGACCCCCCCCCCCCAAAAAAAAAATAAAATAAAATAAATTGGACACCACCACCAGTCTTGTGCTTGACAAGTTCTATAAATGCAATAAAAGAGTTCTCAAAATATGAAAAAACATAATAGTTAAAATGGTCCAATCAAGGAGATGTTCAAATTGACCTGTATTTTCCTAACACTGATCACTCCTGTGATTTTCTAGACAATAGGCCTATTGGTTTTCCTTGAAATGCATTATCAGTATTGCATATACCGGTATGCTGACAAAAGAGAAAACCTAGCGACAACACTGGGCAGAACTCTGCTAGTTTTGAAGATATGAAGGGCAAGAAAATATGCAGAGTTCAGTTTGTGGTTAAAAAGTAGGTCAAAGGTCAATTTCAAGGTCACAGTATATGACTTGCTATATAAGTTCAATAGTAGCTTTGGGCATTTCTTTGCCAATGTTGGAGATATGAAGGCCAGGAAACATGCAAAGTGCAATTCATCATAAATAGTAGGTCAAAGGTCAATTTCAAGGTCACAGTAAGATTGCCAGTATATGACTTCCTGTTCAAGTTAAACAGTATCTATGGGTGTATCTCTGCCAGTTTTGGAGATAAAAGGGCTGGAAAATNGCCCTCTCGCACCGATTTTGGGGTACCCAGAGGATGTCATCCATAAAAATAAAAAAGTGTGGCCTTATTATCCCTTTAAGGTGACAATTGAAGCTTTGAGTTTCCTTTGTATGCTTATACATTGCAACGAGAAATATAAACGCTGATATTTTATATTTTAAAGTTTTTTTATTGTTTTAAATCAGCACAAAGGTAGATGCAGAAAAAAACTCATTTTTTTTTTATTTAAAATTAAAATACCTAAAGGATAGAGGCTGCGAAGATCCGGGGGTGAGCGTTTCATGTTTATTTTATCTAATAAATTAAAACTGAAGGATGCTCCGAGTATTTGGGGGTACCATCTGGAAATTCGGTCGCTGTTTGGGCGTAGTGGCCCAGTAGAATAAAAAGGGGAGCGGGTTGATACCGCAACACACACATTTCAGAGCTTCATAGGTTACAACACACATCACTCGTTGTATATAGTGAATAGAAAGCTATCACTAGAAAAAAAATTCACAGTTAGAAAACAACTATTGGACCTTGCGTTACTGGCTCGACAATCTTATCACCAGGAAAAGAAAAACGCGATGATATAGGTATACCTTTAAGTTTTGTTTAAATTAAAAGTGACTCTTCTAAGGATTTCCCATTCAAAATGAATTCTCCTGGGGTAAAAGACAATTTACCTCCCACTCAAATTATTGCTCGACCCGTCCTTGCCCTTGAATTCAATATCTTATTCCACTTTCAATTCTATAATTTAGTTCTTAATGATTGGACGTCCATTTAAAACGATATAGAATTTGATCTTAATGGCAAATAAAACATGTATTAACACTGGGTAAGGCTCCTTTTATTTAAAGTACTTCCAGTGCTTTTTTTTCTGTTTCTTCAGCTGCGCAGCGCTAGCGTCGTTTTGCTCAGCAATATCCATATGGTGTGTTGTAACCGGCCGAAGCATCGATCTATCCCTATTCGTCAAACCAAATGAGGTCCCGGACTCGAGTATCAGTGTTATGTAACGGACCTGCCCCCTCGCCCCCGCCAGGGGCGAAACCAGGATTAATTGAAGGGGGGTCCGGGGATGCAAAGCCAGGGGCGGAAGACGGTAGAAAAGGAGGATGGATCGTCAAAGATAATATGGAAGACTGTCAGAAAATATCGCTGGATCCGCCCCTGAAAACTGCCCCCCCCCTCCCATTTGAGTGGGGTTCGGGGCCCGCTGAGGGGACCGGAAAAAAATTGGTATTTTAGAGGGCGAACGGTGCCACTTGGTACAGTTTAGTAGTATGATTTGGCTAGTCAAAATTCTAATTTCAAGAGGGGACCGTTGGTATGATTTTTTTCAGAAATCGAAGGGTGGATATCATGGCCCATCTAGCACCCCCTAAGCCCGCCACTGTTTACTGTGCCACTTTACTTTCTTACAGGTAATTAGTCCAGGGGTTGGGGGTACTCCCTTTCACAGGCCCCAAGGCAACCAAAAGTCAGACGTTTTATTGACAATCTTAGACCCCAGTCCCAGAGATTAGATCGATCCAAACTAGATCGACCTAACTCCCTGGAAGTTCACGCTAAATAGCTGTCAGCCGAGCGGGCACGAAAGTTAATTACCCCCTTATATAGCTTGTAGTAGGCGGGACGGATATTTAAGCCGGATAAGCTGACAGTAATCTAGTGAGATTCCCCACGGGGATAGATCGATCTAAAATCTATGGGAATACGCCCTTACGTAATAGCCAAACATTTACATTGACAGTCTCTCCAGGGGCAAATCCACGATTATTTAAATGGGGGCTAGAATTTTTAGGAATGACAGGATTCGGATAAGAAGCCGACACTCGCCATCACTCGGATAGCAAACAGTGCCCTTTGGTACGGTTTAGAACTATGATTTAGATAGTCAAAATTCTTATTTCAAGAGGGGAATATTGGTGTGATATATTTTTCAGAAACCGAAGGGGAGGGGGGCTGCCCCCCCCCCCCCCCCCCCCCCCCCCACCCCCCCCCCCTTCACAAACATTTTCCTTACCCTTCGGCCCTGATAAGGCCGATGTTTGAGACAGCACGTTCGACCTACTTTTATAACATCGGTTAAAAGTAGTCAGTGTCACTTATCATTAGATATATATTATACATGTACATGTACATCCCACAGCATAAGAACCATGGCGGACTCGAACAAGTCCACCGCTGGCATTCATTACGATCAGAGTACCTCTGAGGCGTACTCTTTGTACAGACCTCTCTGGACAGACACCATAGTAGGACGGGTAATGGACTATGTAGGAGAAAAGGTAGGGGTCCCTATTTTGTGTGGTAAATTTNGGGGAAATTGGGGGGTAATAATTTTTTCGAAAAACCGAAGGGGGGGGGGGGTGCCCCCCCCCCCCCCCCCCCCCTCTAAATCCGCCACTTATGGGGGAAAAGAGGTAGTTTTGTGGCAAGGAGTTATCCTTCTGTGGGAACTTCTGCAGGCCAGTTACTTCCAAAGCTGTAATTAATTCTCGGCGCTGCCAGTAATTACGCCGCGGGGTATTCAGGGCACAGACCGTAATCACAAGATACCGCAAATAGATTTTTAGATTTTTTGAAAATAGATTTTTCATGTGAACGTAGCCTATGTGACTGTTGCCGACCCATGCGGCAAAATAAGTTGAAAAGTAAAACAAGTGTATTAAAATAATAATAATAATTATTATTATTATTATTTGTTGTAATTAGGATATTATTATCAGTATTTATCATTGTTTGTTTCATTTAGAAAACAGTAGTATTGTATAAGTTTT